GGCGACCGGTATCCATTTACTTTATCAGTTACATTGTATTTATTTGCCTAGTAATAAACTATAAATAATAAAACAACAATACATGGTGTGAATGCACTCTATCCACTTTATCAGTTACATTGTATCATATTTTACAATGTGATAAAAACAAACATGAGTATTTTTCACTAATGATTACTTCTGCTAATGAGACCTAATAGATGTATAATTGTTAGTTAAAATGCTCTATAAAATTCAATTGGGATTTATATTGGAGCGATTAGCAAGGACCTCTTTGTAAGTAAGCACTTTGAATTTCATCCCAATCATTTGGAAATCCTCGGTCAAAGCCTGGAATCATCTGGAAGATCTTTCAAGTTCATTCAGTTGCTTCATTTTGTACTAGTTTGTGAATTCTCAAAGTTGTTTAAATTTGGAATAGTTAATGATTGCTCTTGCTTCATTGAAGACTTTCTCTTGAAAAAATTATTCGTAATTAAAAAAAATTAAACAAGATAATCAACAAAGTTTTTCCAATTCACTTTTCTCAAATACATAAATAATAAATTATACTTCAAAGAGAAAGACTAAAATTAACATGAAGTGCATTTCTCCTCTTATTATGGAATACTAGTGTGCACATCGTGCAAAGCACGGTCCCTATTTTTTATTTCCGCTACAGTAATTCTGTTTTAAAATATTTTTTGTACGTGATGCAGTAACATTTTTTAAAACGCTACAGTATCCCACCTATAGTATTCTATTTTTAAATGTTTTTTGTAAGTGATGCAATAACATTTTTTTAAAATGCTACAGTAATTCTGTTTTTAAATGTTTTTTGTAAGTGATGCAGTAACATTTTTTAAAATGCTACAGTGATAATGCTACAGTAATATTTACAAACGATATAGTCCCCATATGTGCTACAGTGATTTATTGTACCATTTACAGTAGTGTGAATAGTAAATCTATGGATCTTCCTATTATTACAGAGGAATAGATTAAATCATCATCATTCGTCAACTCTTTTAAGCAAGCACGAAAAATAAAATAAAATAAAATAAATAAATAAATAATTCATATACACTATTACGAGGGAATTCTGAGTCAAATAAAACTCATGCAAGTTGACTGCTCTGCCATTTCTCCCTTTTTCAAAGTACAAAGATCTGTCATTTTTCTAGTAATTTAATCAGAGTTTCCTGATGAACCTTTTGGTCTTCAGAGCTTTACCTAGGGTTTAGAGGGCTTGATGAAGGCGATGAGGAGGCTCGGGTGGAGTTAAGAGGCGGTGCAGCGCGCGCGGCGATGCAGGCGACAGCCAACGGGAGAAAGAAGAGCTTTGGTAATTGACTAAGGGGTTTTGGATTAAGGGTTCGTTTGGATAATGGAAGTATTGGAAGTAAGAAGTAGGTTATAGAAGTAATTTTTAAAACTATGAAATAGGAAGTAGTAGAAATAACATTCTTTGTTTGTTTCATATATTTTTAGAAGTTATGGAAGTAGAACTTCTTTCTCTTCATTTACTTTTTTTGTTTGAATAACATTTGTAAAATATTACTAAGAAGTAATTTTATCAATGAAAATTTGTTAGAAGTAACTAATAAAAAAATATTAATAAAAATTTATTTATTTCCTAATTAATATGTATTTCAACTACTTCCGAGCTACTTCTGAGTATTGAGGATAGGAGAAATATTTTAGAAGTAAAGATGACACGTAGGCGCCACATAAGCGTTTAAGGAAGTATTGGAAGTAAGTTTTTCAGAGAACCAAACACACTTTTTTGCTTAGAAGTAGCATAAATAGTCTCTACTTCTTTTACTTCAGCTACTTCATAATTACTTCTGTGCAAACAAACAGGTCCTAAGTCCTTGGACATTTTGGATTAGGCTTGTTGTATTTGGGCCTCTTAAATTTCAGAAGGATTAAATATAAATAGGCAGAAAAGTCTTTAATTCTATCTTTGCCTTTTGTATTCATTTTTTTCCTTTTGTTAATGAAAGAGTGAGCAATCTATCAATCTGTAGAAAAAAACCATAACAGTTCAAAACAGCAGTAGAAAAAATAACAACCTAAGATAGGATGAGCTATTTTTATGGAAGAACTTAAATCTGTCAAATTAGCATCAACTATGTCAAATTAGAGTGCATCAACTATGTCAAATTAGCATCAACTATGTCAAATTAGAGTGCATCAACTATGTCAAATTTCAGCCAAAAGCAACATGTTAGCTTGCATTTACTGTATGTCAAATTAGAGTGCATCAACTATGTCAAATTTCAGCCAAAAGCAACATGTTAGCTTGCATTTACTGTTATATTTCAGCCATTTAATTTTACAAACATTTAATGTACATCTTTGCATTTCTTCACCCAGCAGATTTAAGTCTTGTGCATCAAAGCGTCCAAGCCAACAACAACATTCAAAACTTCGAATCTTTATCTTGCAAATAACAATAAAAACACAAACTCAAATCATCATTTATTGATATTCATAATTAAAGAATCTTTATCTTGCAAATAACAATAAAAACACAAACTCAAATCATCATTTATTGATATTCATAATTAAATAAACAAATAACTAAAAAATGTACCTCATAAAATGACAAAGAAAGAGCGAATTTGTCTATAAAAATGTACCTCGTAACATAATTAAATAAACAAATAACTCCGAATCTAAAAAAAGTACCTCATAATTAAATAAACAAATAACCAAAACCAACGGCACATACCTCCGCCTCATAAAATAACTTAAAAATATGATTTTTTAAAGGATTTCTATCGACAAAAATAGTTAATTTGATTGCAAGAAAAAAAGCATTAATATCATTAAAAATAATCTAATAGGATATAATTACTGTTCTCAAGCCTTGATAGAAGGAACTAAAATAAAACAAGGGTTATTTCACTTTAATATCGCAAAGTTTTTACCAATTGAACCGCAATACCCCAAACTTACTTTTTGCCCAAAAAGATCCCAAAGTTCTCAAAAGTTTAATTTTGATTGTGTAAACATAACTATGGTATCCAAGTTCAGATTAACTTTAAAATAAATACAAAAAACTAAATAATTTCTAGGGATTTAACTCCAAATGAGCAAGAAAAGACATCTATACAGAAAAATATAACACAAACTTACAACTAATGGATGAAACAACATACCATTTTCCATGAATAAATCAAATTACTTCACTCTCCATCTTATAGAAACAATCCTCTCTCAACAACCTCTACAGTCACCTTAAATGTTATCCCAGCCTACACCCTCTTAAGAACTTCCACATGCTTTGAACAAAAGGACTCCATGTACTATTTTTTAAAAAAAATAAGCACATTTCAATAAAAAAATTCCCAAACAACATAAAATCACCAAAAAAATAAAAAGGAAACTTTTTTCCCTGTATTGAATCCATGAAGAATGCTTAGCAAAGCGCCAAGCTTAGAATCAAATTATGCGACCTACAACATAATTAAATAATTGCACACCAGAGAATTATTGCACATCTTAAGGGAACAATATCTTTTGAGAATATGAAAATAATTTTCCTTTTTTAAGGCTAATATTGATATGAATTGCTTACTTATGTTACAATCAATTCAAAGGTAATATAAAATGTTCATTTCTAAGCATATTTTGTAATTAACCTATAGAGAACAAAATTCTTAAAAGGTTGGTCAATTTAGATGTGAAGCCTGTTTGAATTGTTCACATTAATCATGCCTGGTTGTAAATGCTATGAAACATAAGAATGCAAATAATGGTTATATATACCAAGACTGCAACACTACCTTTAAATATAGGTTAACCTTTGGTAATTAAAAAATTAATAGAGCTAATTTACCTACAAACTTCGAAAGTTGAATTCAATTAATAATCCAATTGCATTAGCCTTAGTTAAAGACTTAATTAAATTGAATAAAATCCACTAAAATCACACAATTAAAGAAGATAAAACTACTAGAAAGATGAAAACAAACCTGTAGTACCCTTTCCAATTGAACCTTCACAAACTCGAATAGTATTGGCGACTATGTAATAGTTAGAGATTCGTAAAAATTTTAGTAATGAAAGGTTTTTGGTATTATCGGTACAGTACAAACAAAATAGTAAAAGTGATTAAAAACAAAGTGAAACGAACCTGCAATACTCTTTCCGACCGGACCTTTGCATATTTTATTGATAGATAAAGTAAGCTCTAATTGAAATGGGCAGGGGGAGTTGCATTATTGTTCTAACTGCTATTTTATTGATAGATAAAGTAAGCTCTAATTGAAATGGGCAGGGGGAGTTGCATTATTGTTCTAACTGCTGATGATAGAATCTCTAATGGATAGTCTAATTGAAATGGGCAGGGGGAGTTGCATTATTGTTCTAACTGCTGATGATAGAATCTCTAATGGATAGGGATTAATTACAATGCAGGAAAGTTAAACACTTTTTAAGATAAAAGAGGTCGGTTAGACCAGCAAAGAGATCACTATTTGCATAGACGGGAAAAAAACATAGATAAATTTAAA